GAGGGGCACCAGGCCCCAGGACTTGGCTGAGAAGAGATCACCACGGCCCCAGAAGATGCAAGGAGAAATGCCCAGGAACTTCTTGAAGGTGACCTGGAATAGACACTGCCAGGAGTCTGGGGCGAAAGCCTTAACACTGAAGACATCATTCTCCCCAAAGGAGTACACGGGCACCAGGGAGGCGCTGGGAGGGTGGGGAGACAAGAGAGAAGAGGGCTGGTCAGCTCAGCGGCTCTAGGAGGGTCCCCACATTCCTCCCCCACAAAGTCCCACTTCTCAAGGCCATTTGAAGCAAATGATGGTGCTCCAAAGAAATATCTAGAAGGCACTTACATTTCTTAAATGAATGTATACTCTACCCTCTTATATACATTTTCTCATATAGTCTCAACTACAACGTGGTGGCAAGGTAGGTGTTAACCCAATTTCACAAGTAAAGAAGCATGCAAGGTATTGCCTGTGAGAGGGTATCATAAAAGAATGTGAGCTGAGGGAGTCTGAGCCCCAGGGTCCAGCTCTTCTCACTGCGATCCTGTCTGTCTCTGCCTGGGAGAAAGCCTGGGGAATGGGCCTCAGGGCTGGGCACAGAGGAACCATTCAAGGGCTGCCCAGAGCGCCCTCTAGAGGTGGTCACCGTGTAAGCTGTGGGAACACAGAGTCCATGTCCCGGGGGCGGGCGTGTGGGCATAGAGTGTAGATCCCCAGAGACGCTGTGAGGTTCCGACCACTGAAGGCAGCCCTGGCTGGGTCTCTGCTCACCCATGCCTCAGTGCCAGGTGGACGAAGCCTTGATGATTCCAGAGAGTGAGGTACTGCTCCTTGGGATGGCATGCAGGGCCTTCTGGACTCCCCCAACCAGGATGACCGCAGCCTGGCTGACTGGGGCTGTGACAGAATAAAATCCAGGCTCTGGTGGTTTGCAGAACCCAGTCCTGTGGACAAGAGGGGGTGCAGGGGCAGTCAGTCTCCCTCCTTGGACCCTCAGTGGCTCACCCTGCCCTTTAGCTCAGGAAGGGTGAGGTACCATCCCTTTCGTTCCGAACTCCTTACCCCTGTGCCCCAGTCCGTGTGCCTTACAGCGCCTCTCCCAGCAAGGATGCAGGACACTTGCTTCAGAATCACTTCCTGACCCCCTCGGTGAGCCTGGTCAATGTTCAAGCGAAGTGCCCGCGGTGGGTGGTGAGCGGGGACCGCTCTTTCCGGATTGAGGTGGGGCTGCCTCCTGTCACTCAGCCCTGGTCTCACCACAGGACATAAAATTGTCTCCACAGACTGGGCGGTGGGACAGGCCATTCAGCGTGACTCCTGAGCACCCAGACGCTGGGAACTGCTGGGAGGAGCCAGTGCTGTCAGGGCAGAAGTTACAGAAGCTTCCGAAGGCCGTGACCCCATGTGGGTGGGGCACTGGCACGTAGTTCCTGTCTGGGGGCAGCTCTGCTGTCTTCACCAGCTGTGGGGGCAGGGGGCAGGATGCGGGAAAGAAAACAGGGAAGGCAGGACCCCAGCTGAAAGGGCTTCCCTCCCCACCAAGAGACGTGAGGGTTCGCGATCATCTTAAGATGGGGTCAAAGGAACAAGGGTCCACTCTGGAACACCATCCCACCCCCTGCCCCGTAAGCTGAACTTAAGCAGCCAGAGATGAGAGTCAATCGGGGGAAGGGTGAGGAGGTGGGGAGGTAAGGGAGTGCGAGGGGTGGAGCATCCCTTGGAGGGTGACCTGTTATCTTAATGGGGAAATAATCGCTCAGGTGTTGCCAACAGTCCAGTTCCTCATCTACGGAGAACCCGTTCTGCCTGGGGCAGAGAGATGGGGGTGGGGGGAAGAATTACTACAGACACCATTTATCACCTCTCACTACTGGGGCCCTGGCTTTGTAACCTTGGGGAGCTGTCTCCTGGTCCAGAAAGAATCACACCATGTAGAGAACAGAGAAACAACAGAGGGAGGTGAAGAGGAGGAAGAAGGCAAGAAGTGAAAAGAAAGGGCCTGGGGAAAGATGAGAAAGGAAAATGACCTAGATTGTGAAACCACAATGACATCTCCCCTCCATGCTCACAAATGAGATCTTTGGGCATCTCCCAGCTGACTCCCTTTGCCCCTCGAGTCCAGATATGGGGTGGGGGGGGCTGTAGCATTTTTCTCCCCACCCTCCCCCTTCCCTTCTTCCATCGTGGACCCCACACCCTGCTACCCTTACCCAGAAAGAGTCAACAGAGCACGTATTTGTACATGCCCAGTACTTCTAGTTACTGTTTCTGCAGGATTTTCATAGTGGGGAAAGGCAGCCAGGCGGTGGAGACTCTCTGGTGCTCCGCTTCTGCCAGCAGGACTCCAGGACTCCGGAAAAAGGATGCTAGTTTCTCTAAGAGTCCTGGAAGCCTTTCTGGTCTCAGTGGCCAAGCCCTTGTGGCCTCCTGGGATCTCTTGCAGGGGCTGTGTGGATGTGGAGACTCGGGTCCAGAACCGCAGATGTTTCAGGCCTCCCTACACACTGATCACGAACTTCTCCAGTGGGTCAGTCCGGGCTGGCCGCTGGGTAGCGCAGGGAGGCGGGGCAGGAGGCATGCCACTGAGGTCCCCCTCCAGGTGCCTCCAAAATCCTGTAGGGCAGAGGTTGCAGAAGAATCCAGAAGCCCACCCACTAGGTCCCAGCCCCGACTGTGTGAGCTCGAAGATCCTGGACAAGCATCCTCGTCCGGTTGTGGGTCTCTGGGTGTCAAGGCCACCAGGAGACGTGGCTTGGAAAGAGTATCTCATCCCCAAGGTCAAACATCTCAGTGTCACAAGTATTTTCCCACCTTTAATTTCAGTCCTTGCCCAGAGTCACTGAGGGGGCCAGTGGCTGCCTAGGTGAGGAGGAGGTGCCTGTGGGCGGGAACACGTACCGAGCCCCGAGCTCTTGGAACAACTGCGTGCGTGGCTCCATCTGCATGGGAGTAGGCCCCCTGGTTTCTTGTAACCTAATCGGGGTTGCCACTGTGGGCAGAGGAGGAGTCAAGAAGGGTGATCGCTGAGATGCCTTCAAGTCCCCTTCTCTTCCGAGGGATTCACTGGGACAGAGATCATGGTGGTCACCTTGCCAGAGTCCAGCCTAGGTGCGAGGCCTGCCCCCAAGTATTCAGATCCCATCCTGGGACTCTCACCTCCTGACCATGCAGCGGCCTTGAGCCTGTGGTGGAGTTGGGGACAGAGCAGCTAGAAGCTGGTCTCACTGACAGCGTGGATAGGCGCGAGGAAGGGCAGGAGGAGGATCCAGGGAACGTGGGGCAGTGGCAGGGCCACTCTCAGCAGTGGCTACACCTCTTTCTCTGCCCTTCCCTGGGTGCAACTAGCTCCCTCTTGTTGTGAGTCAAAGTCGCTCAGTTGTCTCCAACTCTTTGGGACCCCATGGCCTGTAGCCTGCCAGGCTCCTGTGTCCATGGAATTCTCCAGACCAGAACAAGAGTGGGTAGCCTTTCCCTTCTCCACAGGATATTCCCAACCCAGGGATCGAACCCAGGTCTCCCACTTTGCAGGTGGATTCTTTACTGTCTGAGACACCCTGGAAGCCCAAGAATACTGAAGTGGTAGCCTATCCCTTCTCCAGCGGATCTTCCCGACCCAAGAATCGAACTAGACTCTCCTGCGTTGCCAGTGGTTACCAGCTGAAGAAATGAAAGTTGCTCAGTTGTGTCCGACCATTTGTGATCCCATGGACTTTACTGTAACCAGCCAGGCTCCTCCGTCCATGGGATTCTCCAGGCAAGAATACTGGAGTGGGTTGCTACACCCTTCAACAGAGGATCTGCCTGATCCAGGGATTGAACCTGGGTCTCCTGCCTCCCAGTTGGATTCTTTATGGCTGAGCCACCAGGGAAACCTTTAGCACCTGAGTTACCAGGGAATTCCTACCCTCAGATGCAGATTCAAATGTTGATTGCTAACCCAACTGAACATTTCTAGATAGCAACGTTAAGTGAATGTATAACTTGTCACCTGAGAACAACCCAGATAATTCATGAGACTGCTAAGAGTTTTCACTTGGACAAGAGAAAATCCTTCCACTGAATAAAATTTCTAGCATGGGGGAGAGCAAATTGATGTGTACTCAGTTACTTTCCAACAAGTGCTTCTCATTTAAGTCATGGATACAGGCACATAGTCAGGAAATAGGAGGCATGTAAGTCAAAGGATGCTATGACCACATAAGGTCCCTCCCAATGTTTCAGGGGATCCTTGGTATTTCACTGGTGCCATGACTATGATGATGGTGGTGTGTTGGACATGATGGTGATAATTCATTGGCTCTTATTTTACCAAACTCTGTTAAATTTTTTGATGTTAATAAGGTAACTTTGAGATTCATTGGCTCTTATTTTACCAAACTCTGTTAAATTTTTTGATGTTAATAAGGTAATTTTGAGAAGAGTCCCTTCTCACTGAGTGAATGAGATCATGTGGACCTAATGCTGGGCTTGCAGTAGAGCTTCATATGGTAAAATAAATCCCTGCATCATGCGATCTCCCAACCCCCAGGGAACAGGAAGGATGGGAGGAGATGCAGAAGGAAGCTAGGTACTTAAAACTCTCTTTTCTATCACAAGAGATCATTTGAAATCTCCTTACTGACAGGTACCCTTGACCCTTGCAGCTTTTGTTCACAGTATTTCAGCAACTACCCTATTTCCTTGAGCTACCTCTATCCTGTCCACACCTCAAAGCCTAGCCCGTTGGGATCTGCCCTCCCCAACATCATTCTGATGCCCTATGTTTCTCAGCTAAGCAGATGCCTTTATTTAGAGGGAGAAAGGCCCCAGCCAAGGGAAGAGACTAGATGGAGGGTGATAGAGCAGAATTCAGTCTCTGGGAGGAGAACTCAGGGCCTTGCTATCGGCAAGTCTCTATCGATTAGTGTGGTGGTGGAACACACGTGGGCAAACTTGCTCGAGAGAGAGATTCTTGCAAGCAGTGGTGAGAGAACTTTTATTGGCACAGTAGCGTGGCAGTAGGTGGGGTTCTCAGGCGCTGGGATCAGGGGCTGGGGGCGGGGGGCAGGCTGGGAAGGGCGCAGGGGTGAGGCCAGGGCTAGATGAAGGTGAGGCGAGTAGAAGCCGGGAGGCCACAGCTCTCCTTGTGCTCCTCAAACAGTTGCTCCAGAGCCTTCATGTACAGCGTGTGATAGTGGTCCACCTGCTCCTCGGTGGGCTGCGGGCACTGGGGCACCGGGATGGGGCGGCCCACTGCAGGGACAGGGGGACTCAGGTCAGGGGAGGGGCCTCGGCTGCACACACAGCAGATAGCAGCCTTCTTCCCTGGACACGGGCACTCACCCACAGTGGTGATGGGTCTGGCCAAGGGCACCAGGCCCCAGGACTTTGCTGAGAAGAGACCACGGCCCCAGAAGATGCAAGGAGAGAAGCTCAGGAGCTTCTTGATGGTGACCTGGAACAGACGCTGCCAGGAGTCTGGGGCAAAAACCTTAACTCTGAAGATGTCATTCTCCCCAAAGGAGTACACGGGCACCAGAGAGGCGCTGGGAAGGGGCAAGAGAGAAGAGGGTTGGTCACATCAGGGGCTCGAGGAGCACTCCCAAATTCCTCCCCCATAGGTTACCACTTTCCTAGGCATTAGGAGAAAATGATGGTTCTACAAGAAAGATCGAGATGAAGGGATTTTATTTCTTAAGACCAATGTATACTGGACCTTCTTATATACATTTTCACATACAGTCTCAACTACAACATGGTGACAAGGTGGGTATTAACTCTGTTTCACAAGTAAGAAGTGTGCAGGTCTTGCCTGTTAGAGGGCATCATAAAAGAATGTGAGTCAAGGGCATACGAGCCCCCAGGGTCCAGCCATTCCCACTGTGACGCTGTCTGTCTCTCTTCGTGGGAGGAAGCCTGGGGAATGGGCACCAGGGCTGGGCACAGAGGAAACACCCAAGGTCTGCCTAGAGCGCCCTCTAGAGGTGGTCAAAGTGTAAGCTCTGGGGACACACAGTCCACCTCCAGGGGGCTGGAGTGTAGGGATAAAGGGTAGATGACCAGACGCACTGTGAGGTTCTGACCATTGAAGGCAGCCCGGACTGGGCACCCACTCACCCGTGCCTCAGTGCCAGGCGGACGAAGCCTTTACGATTCCGGAGAGTGAGGCAGTTCTCCCCTGGGACGGCATACAGGGCCTCATTGGCCCCTCCGACCACGATGACCACAGCCCTGCCGAGCTGTGGTTCAGACAGAACAAAATCCAGGCTCTGACGGTTCACAGAACATACTCCTGTGGGCATGAGGAGGTTCAGGAACGGTCAGCGCCCCCTCATTGGCTCCATAGTCCCTCCCCTGTCCCTTTAGCACACTAAGTATCAGACATCACCCCCTTCTCTCCAAACTCCCTACCTCTGTGCCCCTGTCCACGTATCCTACAGTGACTCTCCCAGCGTGGATGCAGGAGTCTGGGGCCAAGCCACCTCCTGACCCCCACTGGGAACCTGGCCAATTCAAGCCAAGTGCCTGGGGTGGGTGGTGAGTGGGGGTCACTCTGGCCAGATTGGGGTGGGGTCACCCTCTGCCATTCAGCTCAAACTCACCACAGGACAGAAAGTACTCTCGATGGCCTGGCGTGTACAGGAGGCCATTCAACACGGCCAGTGAGAACCGGAGCCCTGGGAACTGCTGCGAGGAGCCAGTGCCCTCCGTGGCGAAGTTACAGAAGCTTCCGATGGCTATGATCCCGTGTGGGTGAGACACCAGCACGTAGTTCCTGTCTGGGGGCAGCTCTGCTGTCTTCACCAGCTGTGGGGGCAGGGGGCAGGATGCGGGAAAGAAAACAGAAGGCAGAACATCAGCTGAAAGGGCTTCCCTCCACACCAAGAGACTTGAGAGTCCAGGATCTAAGATGGGGTCAAAGGCACGAGGGTCCACTCTGGAACACCATCCCACCCCCTGCCCCATCACCTGAACTTCAGCAGCCAGAGGTGAGAATCCATCAAGGGGAGGAGAGGGGAGGTGGGGAGGTAAGGGAGAGGGAGGGGTGGAGCATCCCTTGGAGGGTGACCTGTTACCTTAATGGGGAAATAATTGCTCAGGTGTTTCCAAACAGTGCAGTTCTTCAACCACTGACAACGCCTTCCACCTTGGGCAGAGAGATAAGGGGGGAAGAATCACTACAGACACCATTTATCAGCTCTCACTACTGGGGCTCTTGTTATTCTTTCGCTGCTAAGTTGTGTCTGACTCTCTGTGACCCCATGGACTGCAGCATGCCAGCCTTCCCTGTCCTTCACTATTTCCCAGAGTTTGCTCAAACTCATGTCCATTGAGTCCATGATGCCATCCAACCACCTCATCCTCTCACCCCCTGCTCCTCCTGCCGTTGTTTAGCACTCACCTCGCTGGGGTGTGTCCCAGTCCAGGAATAACCATACCAAGTAGAGAAGAGAGAAATACCAGAGTGAGGTGAAGAGGAGGAAGACGCCAAGAAGGGAAAAGACAGGGCCTGGGAAAAGTTGAGAAATGAAAATGGTTCAGATTGTGAAGTCGCAATGATTTCTCCCTTCTACCCTCACCAGTGAGATCCTTGCCCGTCTCCCTGCTAGACTTTGCCATGTCCCTCCCTTTGCCCTGGTCCAGTAAGGGGTGCTCCAGCCTTCCTAGCCTACCTTCCCTTTTCTCACCTTCCCAAGTGGACCCCTGCTCCCCTTACGCAGGAAGATGAAACAGAGCACATATTGGGAGATGCTCAGTACTTCTAACCACTGTTTCTTTAGGGTTTTCATGCTGGGGGTGGGCAGTGGGGCGGTGGAGAGTCCCAGGTGCACCCCTTCAGCCAGTAGGGCTCCAAACGGGGGAAAATGGGATGAAGGCTTTGGTAGGAGCACAGGAAGCCTTTCTGGTCTGAGTGACCAAGCACTTGGGATCTCCCAGGATGGCTTGTAGGGGGCTGTGTGTGGGGGGAGCCTCTCTAATCAGAGCCCCAGAGGTCTCCAGTCTGTTCTCACTTATCATGAACTGGTTGGTCTGGGCTGGTCTCTTCATGGGACTGGGAGACGGCCAAAGGGGCGTGCCATGGAGGTCCAGCCCTGGGTGCATTCAAAATCATTGTGAGGAGGGTTGCAGAAGCCAGGACCCCACACTGGATCCCAGCCCTGACTGTGTGATCGCGCGGATCCTGGACGAGCACGCACATTTTTCTGGCCTGGGAGCATCTAGGCCACTCGGAGGCATTACTTGGCACAGGGACATCAACCCTAAGGAAAAACACAGTAATACCATATGTATATTTCCAGCTTGAAATTCAGCCCTGCCTAAACTCCTCCAGGGCCTGAGGCCTAGGTGAGGGTAGGAGGTGACTGTTGGCAGGGACCCCGAAGCACAGGATCTAATCTTGGAACAGCTGTGAGCGCCATTCAGGACAATGAGGGCAGCATGGGCGCCTGCACTGGGGCCCCTCCATCCCCACAGCCCACCCAGCTGTACCCGGATGGGAGCCCCCTCTGTGGGCAGAAGAGGATCAAGAGGGGTGATCGCCGAGATGCTTTGAAGTCCCCTTCCTTCTCATGGGATCCCATGAGACAGAGTTCAGGGCTGGTGGGTTTGCCCAATGCCAGCCTGGGGGCGGGGCTGGCACCAAGTATTCAGGCCCCAACCTGGGAGCTTCACCTCTTAACCACGCGGGGGCCTTGAGCCCTGGAGGGGGGAGCGGGCTGGGGAGCCTGGGAGCAGAGCAGGCAGAGGTTTCAGGTGTGGAAGGGCAGGAGGAGGCCCTGGGGCCTGGAACATTCATAGAGCCAGTCTCAGCAGCAGCCCAGTGTTTCCTGGGTCTTTCCACCCAGAACGCTCCCGGTGGGCAGAGAAACTGTGGAAGGGCTCATTCTCTCCCAAAGAGAAGACTGGCACCGGGGAGGCTCTGGGGCACAGGGACACCTGACTCTGGGGCCCTGAATGTGGGGCTCCTCTCAAGAGGCCTTGCCCCAGAGTCCACCAACGCCACCCCCACCTCCCGGGTCCCTCACCGGAGGTCCAGCGCCAACTTGACAAATCCCTTCTGATGACAGATCTGCAAGCTCAGCGATCTGATCTGGGATCTGGGCATTGACTCCAGCGGGTCCCTGGGCCCACCCAAGGCCAGAGGTCTGGGCCAGTGGGGCTCGCCATGTGGGTGTGTACCCTGAATAACAGGGCTCCCTTTTTTTCCCCGGGGCCTGGCTCTGAAGGGTAGAGGATGTGCAGGAAGCTTTAATCCCTGAGGAGTAGCTTATGCCCCGGTGGAGAGACCTCTGGGGGCGTGGCTTTGTGGGAAATGCTAAGAACTAGGGAGCCCCTCCAACAGAGAGTCCACCGGGCAGGGCACACCCTCAGGTGGACTGGGGCTGGTCCTCACTGTGACCGTGGCCCAGTTCAACAATGGCCAGAGGACTGGGGTGTGTCCCAGTCCAGGAATAACCATACCAAGTAGAGAAGAGAGAAATACCAGAGTGAGGTGAAGAGGAGGAAGACGCCAAGAAGGGAAAAGACAGGGCCTGGGGAAAGTTGAGAAAGGAAAATGGTTCAGATTGTGAAGTCGCAGTGATTTCTCCCTTCTACCCTCACCAGTGAGATCCTTGCCCGTCTCCTTGCTAGACCGTCTCCCTGCTAGCCCTTTGCCCTGGGCTTCCCTGGTTGCTCAGACGGTAAAGCGTCTGTCTGCAATGCAGGAGACCCCAGTTCAATCCTTGAGTCGGGAAGATCCTCTGGAGAAGGAAATTGCAGCCCACTCCAGTATTCTTGACTAGAAAATCCTATCCACAGAGGAGCCTGGTAGACTACAGTCCATGGGGTCCCGAAGAGTGGGACAGGACTGAGACTTCACTTCCCTTCACTTCCCTTTGCCCTGGTGGTCCAGTAGGGGGTGCTGCAGCCTTCCTCCTTCTACCCTCCCCTTTCCCACCTTCCCAATTGGACCCCTGCCCAGCTCCCCTTACCCAGGAAGACGAAACAGAGCACATAGTGGTAGATGCTCAGTACTTCTAACCACTGTTTCTTTAGAGTTTTCATGCTGGGGGTGGGTGGTGGGGTGGTGGGGTGGTGGAGACTCCCAGGTGCTCCCCTTCAGTCAGCAGGGCTCCCGAACCGCGGAAATGGGATGAAGGCTTTGGTAGGAGCACAGGAAACCTTTCTGGTAGAGTGGCCAAGCGCTTGGAGCTTCCCAGGATCGCTTGTAGGGGGCTGTGTGCATGAGGAGACTCTCATCAGAGTCCCAGAGGTCTCCAGTCTGCTCTCACTTATCATGAACTTCTCCAGTGGGTTGGTCTGGGCTGGTCCCTTCTTGCGACTAGGAGACGGCCTAGGGGGCGTGCCATGGAGGCCCAGCCCTCGGTGCATTAGATATCACTGTGGGAAGGAGTCGCAGAAGAAGCCAGAGAGCCCACCCACTGGGTCCCAGCCCTGACTGTGTGATCTCCCCATTCCTGGACGTTCTTACTTGGCGCCGGTATTTCAACCCGAAGGACAAACACAGCAACACACAAGTTTATCTCTAGGTTGAATTTCAGTTGCCAGCCATACTCCTCCAGGGGCCTGAGGCCAACTAGATGAAGAGGAGGTGTCTGTGGGCGGGGACCCCGGAGCACAGGGTCTGATCTTGGAAGAGCTCAGCTGAGAGCGGAGACTGAGAGCAGCGTGTGCGTATGCGCTGAAGTGCCCCTTCCGCCCCCACAGCCCACACAGTTACACCGGGATGGGAGCCCCCTCTGTGGGCAGCAGAGGATCAAGAGGGGTGATCGCCGAGATGCTTTGAAGTCCCCTTCCCTCTCAAGGGATCCAGTGGGACAGAGTTCAGGGCTGGTGGATTTGCCCAATGCCAGCCTGGGGGCAGGGCTGGCACCAAGTATTCAGGCCCCAACCTGGGAGCTTCACCTCCTAACCACGCGGGGGCCTTGAGCCCTGGAGGGGGGAGCGGGCTGGGGAGCCTGGGAGCAGAGCAGGCAGAGGTTTCAGGTGTGGAAGGGCAGGAGGAGGCCCTGGGGCCTGGAACATTCATAGAGCCACTCTCAGCAGCAGCCCAGTGTTTCCTGGGTCTTTCCACCCAGAACCCCCCCGGTGGGCAGAGAAACCGTGGAAGGGCTCATTCTCCCCTAAAGAGAAGACTGACACCGGGGAGTCTCTGGGGGCACAGGGGACGTCTGACTCTGGGACCCTGGAGGCGGGGCTCCTCCCCAGCAGCCTTGCCAGAGAGGCCAGGCCTGGCCTGGACACCAACCCCACCCCTACTCATCTCCCGGGTTCTTCACTGGAGGTCCAGTGCCAACTTGACAAATCCCTTCTGATGGCAGATCTGCAAGCTCAGCGATCTGATCTGGGATCTGGACATCGACTCCAGTGGGTCCCTGGGCCCACCCAAGGCCAGAGGTCTGGGCCAGTGGGGCTTGCCATGTGGGTGTGTACCCTGAATAGCAGGGCTCCCCGTTTTTCCCCGGGGCCTGGCCCTGAAGGGTAGAGGATGTGCAGGAAGCTTTAATCCCTGAGAAGTAGCTTAGGCCCCGGTGGAGAGACCTCTGGGGGCGTGGCTTTGTGGGAAAAGCTAAGAACTAGGGAGCCCCTCTAAGAGAGAGTCCACCAGACTGGGCATACCCTCAGGTGGACTGGGGCTGGTCCTCACTGTGACCATGGCCCAGTTCAACAATGGCCAGAGGCGATAAGCCAGCAGTTTTCAGGTCACAGAAAGTGTCCTTTGTTCTTGTTGTTGAGCTCCACTGTGCTTTATGGGATTTTATCTCCCGACCAGGGACTGAACCTGGGTCCTAGGCAGTGTGAACTCAGAGTCCTATCCATGGTACCACCTGGAAATTCCTGGATCATCACTTTTTGAAATAATTTTTTAATGAAAAGAAAATTGGACTTCCCTGGTGGCCCAGCACTTAGAAATCATCTTGGGAAGTCAGGAGATACAGATTCGATCCCTGGTCCGGGAAGATTCCACCTGCCATGAGGCAACTAAGTCCATGTGCTGCAACTACTGAGCTGGAGTCACAGCTACTGAAACCTGAGCGTCCTAGAGTCTGTTCTCAGCAACATGGAAGCCAGGGCCATGAGACACACGTGCACCGCCAATAGAGAGTAGCCCTGGCTTTGGGCAACTAGAGAAAGCCGCGCATGCAAAAGCAAGACCCCAGTGCAGCCAAAAATAAAATAGAAAAAAATTAAATTAAAACACTATTACAAATATTTCAAATTATTTATTTATCATTGGCTGTGCTGGGTCTTTGTTGCTGCGCAAGGGCTCTCTCTGGTTGCAGCGAATGGGGGCTCCTCTGCCTTGCTGTGCATGGACTTCTCATTGCGGAGCCTTCTCTACTTTCAGAATACAGGCCCTAGGCTCAGGCTTCAGTAGTTGTGGCTCCCAAGCTCAGGAGTTGCAGCTCTTGGTCACTAGAGTGGCCAGGTTTCAGTCGTTGTGGCCTTTGGGCTTAGCTGATCCTCGGCATCCTTAGTTGCTCCATGGGATCCTCTCGAACCAGGGATCCCATCTGTGTCCCCTGCACTGGCAGGCCAGTTCCCGTCCATTGGATCACATAAAGTCGCTCACAATATTTCACTGGTGCCATGCCTGTGATGATGATGGTGGTGATGGACATGACGGTGATAAATTCATTGGCTCTTCTTTTGCCAAACTCTTTTAAATCTTTTGATCTTAATAAGTTAATTTTCCCAAGAGTCCCTTCTCACTGAGTGAATGAGTTCATGTGGACCAAATGCTGGGTTTGCAGTAGGGCTTCATATGGTAAAATAAATCTCTGCTTCATGTGATCTCCCAGCCCCCAGGGAACAGGAAGGATGGGAAGAGATGCAGAAGGAAGCTGTGTACTTAACTCTTTCTCTTCTATCACGAAAGGTCATGCCAACCCTCCCTTCTGACAGGCACTCTTGACCCTTGTCAGCCTTTGGTCACAGTGTTTCACCATCTACCCTATTGTCTGCACCTACTTAAACGCTGTGCACACTTCAGAGAAGAGTTCTTCAGGGATCTACCCTCCCCACCACCATTCTGATGCCCTGTATCTCTTAACTAAGCAGATGCCTTTATTCAGAGGGAGAAAGGCCTTAGCCAAGAGAAGAGACTTAGACAGAAGCTGATAGAGCAGAATTCAGTCTCTGGGAGGAGAATTCAGGGCCCTGCTCTCAGTCTAAGGCAGCAAGTCTGTCTCGATCAGGTGGAGATGGAACCCACGTGGGCAGGCTCACTCCCAGAGAGACTCTACGAAGCAGAGGTGAGAGAACTGGCTCTTCCTGGCACAGTAGCAGGCAGCCGGTGGGGGGGCTCAGGCCCTGGGATCAGGGGCTGGGGGGCCGGGAGGCGGGGAGGGGCGAGGCCAGGGCTGGATGGAGGTGCGGCGAGTAGAAGCCGGGCGGCCACAGCTCTCCGTGTGCTCCTCGAACGGTTGCTCCAGGGCATTTGTGTAGAGCGTGTGATAGTGGTCCACCTGCTCCTCCGTGGGCTGCCGGCACTGGGGCACCGGGATGGGGCGGCCCACTGCAGGGACGGGGGACTCAGGTCAGGGGAGGGGCCTCGGCTCCACACACAGCAGATAGCGGGCTTCTCCCCTGGGGACGGGCACTTACCCACAGTGGTGATGGGTCTGGTCAAGGGCACCAGACCCAGGACCTGACTGAGAAGAGACCATGGCTCCAGAAGATGTAAGGAGAAATGTCCACGACCTTCTTGAAGGTGATCTGGAACAGACGCTGCCAGGAGTCTGGGGTAGAAGCCTTAACTCTGAAGATGTCATTCTCTCCAAAGGAGTACTCGGGCACCAGAGAGGATCTTGGTGGCAGGGGCGGGGGGTGGGGTGCAAGAGAGAAGAGAGCTGGTCATGTCAGGGGCTCTAGGAGTGCCCCCACATTCTCCCCCACAAGATACCACTTCCCAAGACCATTTGAAGCAAATGACAGTGGCTACAAAGAACTATCTGGGAGAAGGGGCTTAATGTTTCTTGAGAAATTAGTGTGTACTGGGCTGTCCTATATACATTTCTCCATACAGTCTACAACCACCACATGATGGTAAGGTGGGCGTTAACCCTATATCACAAGTAAAGAAGCGTTGGGCCCTCCCTGATTGTCCAGTGGTTAAGAATCCACCTGCCAATGCACGGGACAGGGGTTTGATCCCTGGTCCCGGAAGATCCCACATCCGGTAGAGCAACGAAGTCAGTGTCCTCAAACGTCTGAGCAGGTGAGCTTAGAGCCTGTGCTCTGCAACAAGCGAAGCCACCGCAAGGAGATGCCCGCAAACCGTAACGAGAGACTAGACCCCAGTCACTGTAACTGGAGAAAGCCCCCATAGCAATGAAGACCCAGCACAGCCAAAGTAAATACATAAATAATAGATGAATTTTTTTAAAAAAAGAAGTGTGCAAGTTCTTGTCCGTGAGATGGTGTCATAAAAGATTGTGAACCAAGGGTGTCTGAATCCCAGGGTCCCGAAGTTTGCACTGTGATCCTGTCTGTCTCTCTGCGTGGGAGGAAGCCTGGGGAATGGGAATCAGGGCTGGGCACAGAGGAATCATTCAAGGGCTGCCCACAGCGCCCTCTAGAGGTGGTCACCGTGTAAGCTCTGGGGACACACAGTCCACCTCCAGGGGGCCAGTGTGTAGGGATAGAGAGTAGATCCCCAGAGATGCTGTGAGGTTCTGACCATTGAAGGCAGCCCTGGCTGGGCCCCCGCTCACCTGTGCCTCAGTGCCAGGCGGACGAAGACTTGACGATTCCAGAGAGTGAGGTACTGCTCCCTGGGATGGCATGCAGGGCCTCGTGGGCTCCCCGACCACGATGACCATAGCCTGGCCGAGCTGGGGCTGCGATGGAATAAAATCCAGGCTCTGGTTGTTCACGGAACGCGCTCCTGTGGACAAGAGGGGGTGCAGGAATAGTCAGTGCCCACTCCTTGGCTCCCTAGTCCCTCACCCTGCCCTTTAGCTCAGGAAGTCTGAGCTCTCCACTTCTTGCCTTCCAAACTCTGTATCACCCCTTTTCTTCCAAACTCCGTTTTCCTGTGCCCCTGTCCATCCGCTCTACGGCACCTCTCCCAGCAGGGATGCGGGACGCTCGCTCCCAAACCAGTCACTGACCCCCACTGTGAGCCCAGCCAATGTTCAAGTCAGGTCCTAGGGCTGGATGGTGGGTGGGGGGCCACTCTGGCAGGAGTGGGGGGACCCCACCTCTGCCTCAGGTTAACACTCAAAGGAAAAGTAAAGTCGCTGAGTCATGTCCAACTCTTGCGACCCCATGGACTGTAGCCCACCAGGCTTCTCCGTCCATGGGATTTTTCAGGCAAGAATACTGGAGTGGGTTACCATTTCCTTCTCCAGGAGATCTTCCGGACCCAGGGATTGAACCCTGGTCTCCCGCATTGTAGGCAGATGCTTTACCATCTGAGCCACCAGGGACAAGACTTACCATAGGACAAAAAGTAGTCTCGATAGACTGGAAGGA